TGGATTTTGGGGTGCAGGATGGCAGCTTATGGCTGCTGTTGATGACGCCCTGCCGGCCATCCCCCTTTCCAGGGACGGCCGGCGCACAGGCTAGTGCGCCGGCAGGACAGCGTAGGGGAGTCTGTTGGCTCTTTAATGAGAGCCACTGTAAGTGGTACAATTCATGCAGGTTCCGGCATGAATGTTCGCACTGTGGCGGAGCACACCCCGCCGTGCGCTGTTTTAAAAAGGGGAAGTCAGGGGTGCGCCCCAAGGACGACGTTCCTAGACAGGAGGACGCCGGTGAGCGTCGAAAAGATGCACCCGTGGCTCGACCGGTATCCTAAACGGCGGGACGCGTGTATTTTATTGGACGGGTTTTTATTTGGGTTTTGGATTCCGTTTGTTTTTTCTGAGGCACCGTCGTTTGCGGGCAATTTACGTTCGGTTTCGGGAAAAGAGGATATTCTGGGACAGAAGTTGGAAAAAGAGGTGTCCTTGGGCCACATGGCAGGACCATTTTCTGAGCCCTCGTTTGTTAACCTGCGAGTGTCGCCCCTGGGCTTGGTCCCTAAAAAGGAGCCTGGGTCTTCCGTCTCATTCATCACCTGTCCTATCCAGCCGGCGGGTCGGTGAATGACAATATTGACAAAGAGGTGTCAAGGGTGCATTATGCTTCATTTGACAGGGCTCTGGAGTTAGTGAGAGATGCAGGGTCAGGGGCATTGCTCGCAAAATCGGACATTGAGTCGGCTTTTCGTTTGCTTCCGGTTCACCCTGACTGTTTCCACCTCCTGGGTTGTCAATTTAATGGTTTGTTCTTTTATGACATGTGTTTGCCCATAGGGTGTGCTATTTCCTGCGCCTACTTCGAGATGTTTGCGACATTCTTGGAATGGGTGGTGTCACAGGTGTCGGGTTTGTCCACGTTGACCCACTACCTGGATGATTTTTTTGTTTGTCGGGTCGGGAGGTTCCAACGACTGTGCGGTGTTGCTAAGGGCGTTTCGGCAGATTACGTCAGAGTTTGGAGTACCGGTGGCGGTAAGCAAGACGTTCGGGCTGGTGGGTAAGTTGGCTTATTTAGGGATCGAGATTGACTCTTGTGAGATGGTCTTTCGATTACCAGAGGAGAAGCTGGGGCAGTTACTCTGCCTTGTTGACCGAGTTAAGGGCTCAAAAAAAGTACAGTTGCAGCTGATGCAATCGCTTTTGGGTCACCTGAACTTTGCTTGTCGTGTTCTGTCCATGGGCCGTGCATTCTGTCGACGCTTGTCCTTGGCTACGGTGGGGGTTGTACAGCCATTTCATTTTATTCGGATTACAAGTAGGCTACGGTCAGACTTACAGGTGTGGAGCGCTTTTTTGGGTACGTATAATGGTCATTCTTGTTGGTTGCGTTCGGAGGTGTCTAACGGTGAGTTGGACCTGTTTACTGACGCATCGGGGTCCATGGGTTTTGGGGCTTATTTTCGGGGGCAGTGGTGTGCGGCGGAGTGGCCGGCCAAATGGCGGGGTTCGGAGTTCATGGGTAATCTGGCGTTTCTAGAGTTGTTCACAATTGTGGTTGCGGTCGACTTGTGGGGTGCGGGCTTAGCACACAGGAAGGTGATTGTTTACACGGACAACATGAGTGTGGTTCAGGTAATCAATCGTTCCACGTCTGGGTCCCCTCCGGTTTTGGCATTGCTTAGGCGTCTAGTGCTACTCTGTCTTCAATGTAATTTGTGGTTGGTAGCCAGGCATGTGCCGGGGGTAGACAATGTCATTGCTGACTCTCTTTCTCGGTTTCAGTGGGACCGTTTTCGGGAGGCGGCTCCGGAGGCGGCGCTGACGGGAACCCCGTGTCCGCCTTACTTGTGGGACCTGGTTTCGGACATTTGAGACGATTGATTCGGGAGTCCTTATCGGAGTCATCTTGGAGGGCTTACTCCGCTGTCTGCGAGCGCTGGTGGGCCATGGGTAGGAGCGGGGAGGCGGCGTCTGACTCCGGAAGATTGACCATTACGCTGTCGTTCTTGGAGTCGTTGTGTGCCGGCTGCAGCGGCGGAACAATCGTTGGCTGCTCTCTCCTTTTTATTTCGTTTTTTAGGTTGGTCAGATGTCACCAAGGCTTTCTGCGTTCCGCATTCTAAAAGGGTGGAAAAAGCGCCGCGTCCCCGACAAAAGGCGGCCGATCTCGGGGGCCATGCTGCTGCGGCTGTTGGAAGTTCTTCCGGAAGTGTGTAGCTCTACATACAAGGTACTGTTATTTAGGGTGGCATTTTCATTGTGCTTCTTTGGGGCGCTGCGGATCGGTGAGCTGGTGGCCCCCAGGGCGAGCTCCGTGTCAGCGTTGAAGCTTTCCGATGTCTCAGTGACACCGGAGTGCGTGACTCTGGTGATTCGGCGGTCTAAGACGGACCCGGAAGGCCTGGGAGCGAGGGTATGTATCAGGCTTACTGGGGGTGTATTTTGTCCGGGGTACTTGTTGCAGGCCTACCTAGGCGCCAGGGGTGGCGCGGATGGCTCACTGCTGGTCCATCTTAATGGGTCCTCACTGAGCCGTTTCCAATTTGCGAGCCTCTTGCGGAGTTGCATTGTCAGGTTGGGTGGGGATCCCAGGTGGTATTCCTCACATTCCTTTAGAATAGGAGCGGCGACGCAGGCGAGCG